GTCAATATAATTGAAAATTTTAATTAATAACCTATAGGAATTTGAATGGCTATAGCAATTTAATAGGTTTTGATCCCTTCGTTTACAGAAAAATATTAGCTCACTACGATATTAGTCGAAAATGCTAATATAATTGAAAATTTTTATCACAAATCTATAAGAATTCGAACGACTATAGCAATTCAATAGGTTCTGATCCCTTCGATTATAGAAAAATATTAGCTCACCACGACATTAGTCGAAAGTGCCAATATAATCGAAAATTCTAATTAATAACCTATAAGAATTCGAATGGCTATAGCAATCCAATAGGTTCTGATCCTTCGTTTATAGAAAAATATTAGCTCACCGCGATATTAGTCGAAAATGTCAATACAATTGAAAATTTTTATTACAAATCTATAAGAATTCGAACGGCTATAGCAATTCAATAGGTTCTGATCCCTTCGTTTGTGCAAAAATATTAGTTCACCGCGATATTAGCCGAAAGTGCCAATCTAATCGAAAATTTTAATTAATAACCTATAAGAATTCGAATGGCTATAGCAATCCAATAGGTTCTCATCCTTCGTTTATAGAAAAATATTAGCTCACCGCGATATTAGTCGAAAATGTCAATACAATTGAAAATTTTTATTACAAATCTATAAGAATTCGAACGGCTATAGCAATTCAATAGGTTCTGATCCCTTCGTTTGTGCAAAAATATTAGTTCACCGCGATATTAGCCGAAAGTGCCAATCTAATCGAAAATTTTAATTAATAACCTATAAGAATTCGAATGGCTATAGCAATCCAATAGGTTCTGATCCTTCATTTATAGAAAAATATTAGCTCACCGCGATATTAGTCGAAAATGTCAATACAATTGAAAATTTTAATTAATAACCTATAAGAATTCGAATGGCTATAGCAATCCAATAGATTCTGATCCCTTCGTCTATGCAAAAATACTAGCTCACTATGATATTAGTAGAAAATGCGAATGCAATTGAAAATTTAAATCAACAATCTATAAGAATTCGAATGGCAATAGCAATCCAATAGATTCTGATCCCTTGATTTACGCAAAAATATTAGCTAACCGCGATATTAGTCAAAAATGCCAATACAATTTCACCAATCGACGAATTATTTCGCGAATTTTATCCTTGCAAATCGCGAAACACAAACCTGCTCCGATCACCATCCTCACTTATCATCCTCAACGACTCGGAAAAATACACCGAAAAATATCCGTATCACCGTGTATGTATAGGTATGCTCGTACATTATCTGTGCCCGATATGCTAATTAAAAACGTTAATTAAAAACACAGCAAATGTTTTATCCGTGCATCCTTCAGATGGCTCGATTGGCCATTATTTTCTCGAGATGTCAATTTCGAGGAACCATCTTCTCGATACTTGAAAAAATTCGCGAAGACCAATATGGCGAATGTTTTAATTTCATAATGCACCTGGAGCAACCTTCCGTTAGATCGGAATGAGAGAGTGGAAGGGAAAAATACGAGAGAGCAGCGGATTAAAACGCGAGCGGTTATTGGCAGAGATCTGCGAGAGAACTCGCGTATATCCGGCACGGCGCGGAACGGCGCGGAACGGCGCGAAGCGCGCGAACGTAGCGTGAAAATTCAAACGACGAAACGTCCTTCCGGGACGCTTTTCCGTGCGGTGCGCGCGTGTACGTGTGCGAGAGCGGACTTTTGTGCAGGCCGGCTGCCATCGGCGGACAATGAAACGTACCGTAGGCGGCGTGCAGGCGTTACGACGGCAAATCCGATTCACGCACTATCGACGAGTTACCTAATAGCGTACTACGCGGATGCAGATACACAAGCGACGTCACGTGCCCGGCGAGGCACCTGCGCTACACGCGAAGCAAAAATAAAGGTGCGCGAGAGACGAAGTGTAGCAATTGCCACGGGCTGGCACACGGCGGCCTAGGCGCACACAGAGACGCGAGGTTCCGTTCACGCAACGCGCGATGCGTTACCTAAGAACGCGTAGACGCGCAATTTCAACCGGCCATCCGGCCCCTGCCTCCGCGTCCATGCGAACGATCTATGAAAAACAACGTGCACGTGGACGCGCATGCAACGACGGATCGATCTGCAAACAACGGCAGACAATAATCGCGTTTATCACGGCGGGAAAATACCCGGTGAGCACCGTGCGACGAGGGTCACCGTAAAAACCCGCAGCCATAATGAAGTATCAAGGCAGCTGGCTGGACGTTCCGTTCTCTCTACCCGTTTTCTTCCCTTTTTCTTTCTCCTTTTATTCCTCTCCCCGTCTTTTTTCCCCCTTTCTTTCCCTCCTTTTTTCCCCGCATTTCCTCCTTTTTCGCTGCAATTTCTCCGAGTGCTCCAACGCCGCGTACAGACCGACCGTGCACACTGTCGTTTCATTCTGTTACACCGATACTCGACGCGCGTGGCTTTCCTGGACTAACGTCGCCGACGTGGCACGATTGCGTTTCCTCGTCACGAGGAAAAACCGCGGCTAATGGGGAACTATGGAAGCGCTGATGTTTAATGCGCGATTTAATTGCACCGCGGGACTACCGTAACCGAACGAGTCTTCGAGGATTTTTCATCGGTCCTCCTCGGCCTATCGCGTCAATTTTCCGATTTCGCGGATCGGAAAATCGCTGTCATTTCCCGTAACGTATTCCGTACGATATTTTCCTGTTTTCGCGATGGGAATAATGTAGGTCTCTGGACTGGGTCCGCAGCGGCTATGCTCGATATTTCATACGTCCTTCCGTATGCCTAAGCAAACGATTTCTACGTCCAGGCAGGTATAACGACGATGATCGATAAAGGAAAAACTCGCGTGATTTCACGGAAATCGCAACAAAGTAATTCCATTCACACAGAGTTCCTCGCGTTGGCGTATCAAACGTGCTTCGCTATAGCACGGCAATAACTCACGTTCGTGCGAGCAATATACGCGACAGAGTGAAAAAAAAAATAGAGAAAAAAGGAAATTCGAAAAAGCAAAGGTATGCATAACTAGTCGCCAGTATAAACAATGCATAATTTATCGAACGCTCGGTGGAATCGTCGAAAAACACCGAGGACGTCATAATGTCGAATTTTTTCCAATTTTACTGCACAATTATCCGATCGGAATTTACCGTATACGTATATATTTATATTTCTTAAATTTAAAATAATTTCCTTTTTGTTATAATTTTCCTCACCCCTTTTGCAACTTGTCGAATTAATAAAGGAGAGGATCGCGTACCTCGTACGATTTTCAGCGGTATGCAAAATGGCGGAAGAAAAAAAATTGCATAGCGATCGATCGAGAAACACCATTAAAAGAATGGCCGGTGGATTACGTGCGTTAACGTGCCACCGCACGGCCTTCTTTCATCGGATGAAGAAACTATTGACATTGAGGCAATTCAATTTGCACGATGGATTTGCGTTTAGACCGAGTCGGCACGACTCGCCGTAAATTCCGGTTCTTACGGCGGCGATCACGAGCTATCAGCCTAGGAATAATTTATCGGCGACGATCGCATTAAAGTAGCTACAATGAAATTATTCCCCGCGGCGATGCGTCTGTGTGCTGGTCCACGTGTGCGTACGTAGACGCGTGATCTCGCGAGCTGGCTCGCTCGCAAACACGCGCGCGCGCCCTCTCGAGCACGCACGCGGCCGCCGCGAGCTTTACGGATGTAGCCGACAGTCGGACGCAATTAGTATTACCTAAGAATCTATATAGTCGGCGGCATTGCAACGACTATATTGCACGAAAAGTAACGTACCTGTGCGCGTGGAGCTCATCGATGTAGCAACGACATTCCGCGCCACCTGGCCGAACGCGTGTTTACTTTTTCTAATTCGAAGTCGCACACGTGTCGCGCGTTCGAGGTCCCTCGAGAATTCCGGTACGATCGGTGATACGGGAGGAACAGTCTCTCTCGATAACCGTACAAAAAATCCTTCGTTTCGTCCCTCTCTCTCTCTCCCTCTCTCGCTGTCTCGTCGTCTTTCCTATTTTTCTGCGTTTCTTTCTGTTCCCCCCGCGGAGCGTGAAGAAGGGTGTAAGAGAGGTTAGGTTACCAGACGCTTATTCGATAGCGAGCGTGGAAAAATGGCAATCGGTTTTAAAAAGGAGAGAAACGTTGGCGCGATAGCCTCTGAAAGCCCGCGAAACTATCGAGCTTAACGCGAAAAGAAAAATCTGCATATAAATTTCAGAAAAGCATCTTCGATACGACGTCGCGTAGGCGATGTAACAAAAGAAAGGAGAAGGGGAAAATACCTGTGACAAATCGGAGCAGAATTGCACGCGAATATCTGTTCCGTCGATGCATCTCTTTATCTTGCTCTCCCTCTCTCTCTCGCTCTCTCGCTCGCTCGATGTCTTCGCCTCTCTCTCTTGTGTACACGCACACGCGCTGTCTCCGTCTCTGTCGGTCTCGCGCACTCCCACTACCTCTCGCTCCCACCTCCTTCTCTGTCTATCGCGCACGTAAATTCGAGCTACGCCAGTCCACACCGTGCGAAATTTCTAATTTCGAGGTCAGCCGTGCGGCAAAGTACGTCTGAAATAATTACCTTCCGCGCTGCGTAAGACGTCAATGCGTTTGATATTCTTACACGCTCTCCCCTCCCGCCCTTAACACGACGAACAAGAGTTTTTTTGGTCCAACGACGCCTATGGCTCTACGAATCGCGAGATCTGCGAGGGAAACGTGCGCCGTCTCTGTATGTGTGGCTGTGCGCGTGAGCGTTTCACACCTGACTACTACGCTAGTCAAGCCAGCGACTGAAGCGACATTAGATATTGGTAAAATTACGATATCGGCGCGGAACCTGCACGTAAAATAGTTATACGACCGAATAGGATTTATCGTGGGCGAATTATGCGCGTGGGCGGTGCCGAATCGATTTATTTTGTCGGTAAAGTCTGCGCGGCGAACACGGTAGGTTAGTTGACCGCGGGGCCGAGCGAGCGCTGAGCTGACAGTAGGCCGGCGACGTCACAGTGGGCCGGTTGAGCCTTCCTTCGTTCGATTCAGGCAGGCTCTCTATTCATTTTACATGTAGCAAGGTAAATATTTCTATGCGAGTGTCCATTCGAATTCGTGGCTCCAAGTGCGTGCAATTGTCGGCGGCGTTCTGTGATACACGTTTCTCGTTTTTTTTATTTTTTTTATTTTCACCACGAAACACTTTCTCGGGGGTGTGAAGAAGTTTTTTTTCCTCGTTCGTGCCCGTTCCTGTTACATTTCACGACACTGGCTGCTACTGCTACTGTTGTTGTTGTTGTCGCCGCTGCTGTTCGCTGTCACGAGCGATGCCCGTGGAAAAAGCGGAGAGAGAAAGAAAGAAAGAGGGAACGAGAGAGCGAGAGAGAGAGAGAGGGAGAGAGAGCACCGGGTCAACCACGATTTTCTTCGGTTCCATCGGTTGCGATTCGCGAAAAAGAAAAGAACACGAACACGAACACGGGCAGGACACGGAACACGCACTTTGCACCCGCGAGCGGATCGCGTGCACGATCATTGGATTTTCCAACGAGAACGTGTCTCTGTCGGCCGAACAGCGCGCCCGAGACACGTGAAATCCCACGGTTGACAGTTACCGTGGCGCGGACGTCAGTGGATCGTGAATCGTTTCTCGCAACGCATCGTAACCACGTTCGACGTTGCCCGACCTTGTGCCGTTTAACTTTTGGCAAACATTTTCCAACCATTCGTACGCGTGCGACGCCTATGTTTCGGCAGTTTCTTCCGTTCCTTCCGCACACGGATCGTTCTTTGTCCCTGTCATGCCGGGAATCCAAGTGTTCGCGACGTACCGAGTCGCGCTCGTATCGTACGCGCTAATTAACACGCGTGAATCACTTGGAACGCTTCGAAAAGCGACTCGGAACGTTGTTGGCACGAGCGATAGGCCGAACAGGAAAAATTCGTTACGCCGCGCATCGATACACGGAGACACGTGACAAGTGGAAAGTGAAGAACGCGACTGATCGCCGCGACAGTGCGCGACTCTATCGATACATCATCGACGATCCATCGGTTGGTAAAAAACCTATTGCCACCGCTTAGCCGCGACGCGAATCAATCGGGAAAGCATATCGGCGTGGAACGGCGTGATCGCGGAGAAAAGTAAACAAAAGTTAAACGCACTAAACGAAAGCAACGTCGGTCGGACGTGGTCGGTGTGACCGATTAAAAGCAGAGCATTGACGTAGAGGAAGATTCCCGTGGAATTTCGTGGCCGGGACGCGGTTCGTGCGAAAGTTACGAAGAGCGAGGGATCTTTGGAGTGCGTCGGCAAAACACGCATCGTGAGACAGCGTAAACACGTATATACTTGGTGAACGTACCGACGATGCATCTCGCAACGACAGCCGGAGAGAGATGTCAGCGGTGACAGCTTCCGAAATGTTGGCCGAAAGTACGTTATAAAGTTCCTAACCTACGAGCTACCTAACCTGTACACGGTGGCGCGGTCTGTTCGCTGTGAAGCGCGCGATAAGTGAGTCTATCGCGTTCGCTATACCGACCTTCTTCGTCGTGTATGTACGAAAACGAGTCACGAACGACGATGCTGGATCGGATTGGATGGAACGAGGAAAAGGACGCGAGGCGGCCGTCGTGGTTCCGTAGAACGAGAAACGCGTCTCGATATTGGTGTTGAAGCGAAACGTGAGGCAAAGAGTGCGTGTTCCGTGAGCCGCCAACGGCGGGACGAAAATATCACACGTGCGTCGGGAGAGTAAGCCGAGATTTTTGGAGGACGACGCCAGTCAAGTGGGCGATCGGTGAGCACCGCTTTTTGGGTGAGCGACCAAAAAAAGCTGAATGCCAGAGAGAGCGAGAGCGAGAGAGAGGGAGAGAGCGAAAGAGAGAGAGAGAGAGAGAGAGAGAGAGAGAGAGAGAGAGAAAAAATAATCTTCGCGGGGGATCAGGTAGACGATTTTCCTCTGAACCGCGAGAATCGTAACGGTTAGTCTCGCGTGTCACGTTGTCACGCCATTTCCCCGCGTCTTCTAGCCACTTCGCGGACACGTCTGTTTATTGACAGCTCGAAATTCCTGTGACTCGTACTCGCCCACGATCGTTCAATTTTAACCGACACGCGAGACCAGTCGTCCGCTAATGATAAAGTCGATCAACATCTGCCGTTCGAGCTTCGAAACCTCGTGTGATTTCTAGTTCGTCGAGAAACCGGCGCGGCGCCCCGTTTCGAAATACGGAATTACAGTTACCGTGACTAAACGCAATTCCCTCGATGACGACGACGACGACGACGTCGACGACATCGGCGAAAAGGAGCGCGGGATCCACGAGAGGCAGTAGTTTCAGTAGTTTCCGTTGGGAAAGAGAGAAGGTAATCAGGGCGAGAGCGTGGGTAAACCTCTTTCAGTCGTACGGCCCTGCATGCTAAACAGCATAGACGTTTGACGTTTCGTGAAGGTCGCGTGCTGTAGCACTTTCCTTCTCGCACCGTCCACCGTCTCTCTGTCGGTCTCTCTCGCCCGCACGCCGTCTCTGTCGCCCACTTTTTCTCTCTCTATCCGTCTCGTTGCAATTTTAGCCGTCTCTCTTCAACCACGTCTTCCCGTCGCCGTTTCTCCGTTGCCTCTATATTGCGTCCATCCGTCTCGCCCTACGCACATACACGCACCTATATACCGTTGCACGTTTAACGATCGTTACGCGTTGAAATTGTCGCGGCTCATTGCTTTCCGGGAAGTTCCGCGAATTTTCCACCAAGTTGCCGCGTCCGTGATGCCGCACGCGCGCTCCGTCCCCACGCGGATTTTCGCGTTATCGACGCGTACGTGACATTGAAGATCTCCGAAGGAAATCGCTCGCGGCACGCTCTATACAGGGTGACGCCAGCGAAAATATCGTTTCGCCGCGAAACTCATCGCGATTCCTTCATTGCGCGATTCCTCGCGCCGCTCGACAACTCTCTGCAATTTTTACCGTTACCGATCAAGCGGCTAACTAATCTCCCATCGGCCGCGTATCGCTGAAAGAAACGGACGCGAGAGGGAACGTCGATCGGGCCAACGTTCGGTCGCCGCGATGCGTTTAGAAAGCACTTTCGTCCGCTACGAAAATCGCGCGCTCGTTGGCGGCGGTGCAAGCGGCGCGACGTTCGCTTGGGAAACGTGTACCAAGTTAGAGTCCACACACTCTCCGCGAATTCACTTTCTACGCGGCCGAATAAATCAGGAAAATCTGCCGCGATATACGCGGCTATTCGTACGGTGGCAGCGTATTGCCCTTTTTACGTTGACACGGTGCTACGTGTTACGCGAAACGGTATTCGTCGAGTTGAGAAATTCGACGACGGGAAAGTTACGTTTCGTCGTCACGGAATCGGGAAACTTGTCCTTCGAAACTGCCGCGCTAGTTTGACTTTGGCAAACGAAAAACCAACGTGGAAATATATTTCGAGCTGTTACGCGCAAATTTGGCTTTCGATTACACTTTCCTGCGATAGACCTCTCGCCATTGGTCGAACGAGCGACGAGTAAAGAGGTTAGGAACGTTTGACGGAAACGGGGTAAGACGAGATATGGAAGAACGAAATGTACGTATTAACAGCAGAATTTTTAATCGAAATTTACGTAAATAAATATGTATCGCCAAACCTACGATGCCTAATTTGATATATCAAATCCAAGAAATATATTATTCTCATTTCGAATTGTTACTTGCAAATTTGCCTTTCGATTGTATTTTCCTGCGATAGTCTTCTCGCGATTAATCGAACGATCGACGAGTAACGAGGTTAGGAAAGCTAAATAGAAAGGGGGTAAGACAAGATATGGAAGAACGAAATGTACGTATTAACAGCAGAATTTATAATCGAAATTGAGATAAATAGATATGTATCAACGTCAAATGTTGCTTGATAGATCTAACGATACCTAATTTGATATATCAAATCCACGAAATATATTATTCTCATTTCGAACTGTTACTTGCAAATTTGCCTTTCGATTGTACTTTCCTGCGATAGTCCTCTCGCGATTAGTAGAACGATCCACGAGTAAAGAGGTTAGGAAAACTTAATAGAAACGGGGTAAGCCCAGATATGAAAGAACGAAATATATTTTTAATTGAAATTTAGGTAAATTAATATGTATCGTCAAACCTACGATGCTTGATAGATTTAACGATACCTGATTTGATATATTAATGCCAAGAAATATATTTTTCTTATTTCGAATTGTTTCGTGCAAATTTGTTTTTCGATTACACTTTTCTACGATAGTCTTCTCGCGATCTGTCAAACGATCGACGAGTAAAGAGGTTAGGAAAGCTAAATACAATAGAAACAGGGTAAGCCTAGATATGAAAGAACGAAATATATTTTTAATCGAAATTTAGGTAAATTAATACGTATCGTGGAACCTACGATACCTAATTTCATATATCAATACCAAGAAATATATTATTCTCATTTCGTACTGTTTCGTGCAAATTTGTCTTTCTATTACACTTTTCTACGATAGTCCTCTCGCGATCTGTCAAACGATCGACGAGTAAAGAGGTTAGGAAAGCTTAACCCTTTGCACTCGACGACTTTTTCGTTCCAGAAAAATAGTAATTCGAAGATCTTCTGTCATAGAGTCGACGCTATTCTAAAAATGGTAAATGAGGAATCATGCAAATTAAGACGTAGAATTATTTTTCTTCGACATTTCGTACATCGTTAGGTAATTTTATATTTGATTCGCCTCTCGACTGTAAAAGGTTAATAAATCGAAATATGAAAGAACGAACTATATTTTTAATTGAAATTTAGGTAAATAAATTTGTATCGTCAAGCCTACGATACCTAGTTTCACATATCAAATCCACGAAATATACCATTCTCACGTGACAAGCTATACTTGACAGACTTCTCGTACTCCGCACGATGTCTCATGATGTCAGTAGAAAAATACGAGAGAGTTTGTTGGAAAGAAAGTAGAAAAAGGCAGGGACGAGCCAGTATCGTCCAAGAGTTTCGAAAGTCTAACGTCCGTCATCCAACATGGCGGCTTCATTGTCCGCGGCTTAATATCTGCTCGCGAGG